TGGAGAGGTGGCCTAAGGTTCAGAGCATTTGAGCCGGCCATCAGTAGTAGCTCCATAGCGGCTGGTGCTAACCACCTTGCAGTGCTACTCAGTCCAGAACATACCCTTTTCCTCACTAACTTTACATAGCAAACAGGGAAAAACAATGGGTGTAGGGAACTGACGGTAGGTGTCTCTTGAAGGTAATGAAACCATACAGAACTTTGAGGGGATGTCCTAAGAGGGGTGGCAAGACAAATGGAAATGAACAAAAGTGGTATTTTGAAATGCTATTTAGCTGGCCTTTAGTTTGAACTACAGGTTCAAAAAATAGTCTGAATTATGTCTCCAGAATGTCTGGTAATGGAGACATTATCAGGTAAATGAGACGATGTATGAAAAGAACAGCAAACTAACCTGCTATAGGAATATATAGTATGGTTCTCCCAGAATAGTTTGACTTCTTTTCTAATAAGTTTGTATAACCTCACAATTATTGCACATATTTTCCCTTTGTTGTTTGTTTCATTGCAAATCTTGATTTCCCCTAAAACCTCTAAAACACAAAAAGGATAGACTTAAAGTTACTGGCTTCACAGAATCTAAAAAATTCTAAAAGTTCAAATTTCCATTGTAGCAACATCAAAAACAAGTTGCAAAAAATATGGAATTTTTTTTCTTAACAATTGGGTTTGGTTAGATAAAACCTTTGCAAACATAGTGCTAGCTGGAACCAACAAAAATGTAAAGAAAAATTTTTACTAGGGTGTTTTTTTTTTAAGTCTATCACATACCCCTTTGCTCATATTTCATCCCTTTAAATAGCGCTGAACCCGTCGTCCCCAAAGCATTTTACAGAGAATTAGTTCAATCTGTAGAATTGATACGAAATAGTCTACCTATAAGATAGACGCTGCACCTCACCACAAATTTGAATGCCTTCTGGAGCTTTGTTGTGTTCACACCTTTCAGAGGTTTGGGCATAATTTTTATTCTTACCTGTCATGGACGGTTTTACCCAAGACGCTGCTCAGACACCCGATCTCCTTGTATTATTTTATTTCCTTTATTCCCTTGTCTTGGCTCCATTCCTGGACGGAGAGGAAAGGCAGGTGCCTGAGAGCGGCAATGGTCAGACCCTCGGCAGGAAAATACCAAGGATGCGGAAGGGACCTGGCATCCCTTTAGTTCCCGGTGCCCCTGGTACTACTTAAGGATGCGAAACTCGAGCCGCAGGGCGAAACTTACCCGCGCCCCGCCCCGCGCACTG